AACAAAAATCAGAAACACAACCTATATCAGTCATATAACGAGACCCATAGAATATGAACAGCTGCAACTAATATTTCCAGGGAAAGATTGAAGGAGGACGAGGTATAGGAGGAAAAAAATCCACGAGACTGGACAATCACAATCGATCAAGCCCACCATAGACATGAATTTACCATGGTGATCGCCAACCTCAACAGAAGTGGCTCCTAGGAGGAGGAATCTTGGCTATTGTTTGTCGCTTTGAAGAAAAAAAAATTCCCGGAGGTCTTCGAACACAACTGATATAACAAACGAGCAAACTAACCAAAATTAACCTAACCGCATTGTATACACCTTCCCTCAGCGCATTAACGAATTCAAATAAAGAAGAAAATGGTTTTAAATTTCTTTTTCGGGCATATCGTGCCGCCGTTTGTTCCGACACATGTTCCGTCGGAGACTAAACAATTCGGTCGACGCACACCGTTTACTGAAAGACATCTGGAAAATATTTTTGTTGTATAGAGCGGGAGAGACACGCGGGATTTTCTTTTGAATAAAACGTCAGCGGCCGCACGCGTCGCTGGCAAACCCGCGACGACGAAGACGACCCGTGAAAAAATCAATCTGCACGCCGGTGACCAAGAAAGATTTCACTTTTTAGAAAACTTCTGGATTCCTCCTGCGTTTCGCCAATCATCCTGTTGGCTTCTTCGGAGATCGACTGAAAGTGGCTCGCGTTTTACTCTGTATGGTCTGTTCATAGATATAAGAAAGTGACCAATTGCTTTTGAATGGGATTATCCAAGGGTTGTTACCTAAAGTTTCGGAATTTAAATTCAGGTAAAATTGTGGTCCGTAATAGAAAATAATTTTATACCTACCTGTATGTTGGTTTGGTATACTATTTAGTTTAAGTTTATTAGTAATCATTCTTATTTCGTGTGTAATACAGCGTGTTGAATCGTGTGCGAATTATGCAAAATATGCGCGAGCGGGAGCATCTCAGGAGATGCTCTCGTCCAAATGTAGAAAACATTATTCTATTGAGACTAAGGAAGTTATAAACAATATTTATTTGACTCTCATTGACCGGCCACATTGACGAAGACTCCAACATCAACTGTATGGAAAATTGTGAATTGTAAAATTTACCAGTTATACGAGGAACAAAGCGTGCCTACATTAGATATCTTAATTAGGAGGCTTGAAAAAGATGAAACCGGTGTTCAATATGGCAGAACTACCTTATGGAAGTGTATTCAACACATGGGTTTTAGATTTAAAAAAAAATGACAAAAGGCAAGTTTTAATGGAATCTTTCAGAATTCGGAAATGGCGACTGGTATATCCAGAAAAAAATAGGATTTACAGACAACAACAAAGGCCAATTATTTACTGGTTCGACACATATGATACCCCGGAAAAGGGTTGGGTTGACTCAACTGATAGGTGTAAAACAAACGCGCCATCAAAAAGACGTAAAAGAATAACCATTTTGCATGCTCTAAAGATGGGTGGATTCCAAATGCACTTTCTCTGTCTGCGAAAAATATTAAAGTTTTTTCTCTGGATTGAAGACACCACCGCTGATTTATATGAAAGTTGGTTTAAAAACAAACTAGTTCGAAACATTCCTCCTAATAGCCTAATTGTAATGGACAATGCAAGTTATCACAGTTGAGTAAAACCCCTTCCTCATGTGGATTTTTGGACAAGTGGTAAATCTGGTTTTGACGTTATACTTGTTTAGCACTTATAGTTCTTATAGGACTGCTGAGTGGTGAAGTGTATTTTTTGATGAAGTGGATTTTTTGATGATTAATATCTTTAATGTGGAATTTGACCATTATAAGAAAAATGGTTTCAGGTTTTCGGATTTTCATAAAACTGAAATGATGTTGAGAATTTCAGGAATAGGAACTTTGGTAAAGAGGGTTTCTACGTCAAAATTAACTAGAATATCTTGCGTATCTAATGTAATTCGTTTTAATTGTTCAATGAATTGAAAGGAATTAGGGACGAAATTATCAGTTTTCCCTGTAAGGGGGTTTCATAAGGAAGCTAGATACTTAGCTAGAGAATATGTCGGAGAACCAATGGTGCTGACAATAGGTCGAAGGAGTAATCCTTGTTTGTGGAACTTTGGCAGCCCGTAGCGACGAGGAAGGAGTCCGATAGGATCTTTTTCAACTTTCAACTTGGTGAATATTTTAAATATTTTGCTGATATTCATTTGTGTTCATGATCACCGTAGCATTTCCTTTATCTGCTTTTAGGATTACGATGTCTGATTCGATTTTAGAGATTTTAGAGCAATGCGTTCAGGCTTTGCAATATTTTTTTGCAGTTTCAAATCATTTTCAGTTTCAGTCAAGCTCTGAAGAAACCAACAGGATGATTGGCGAAACGTCAGCAAGGTCGACTCAGCAAAATCCAATGCATAAGGAAACCAGAAGTTTTGTAAAAAGTATTACAGTAGCCTGTGGAAGTTTCTTTGAAAAATTTACTCAGAGATTGTGTTGCTTAAACAACGTTTTGATCAGATCTCTTGGTAGAAGACAATGTCTCATCTATGAAAGGCACTAAGTACCAAGAAATAATCTGCTTGACTGGTAGACAATGATTCAGTACAAATACTAAGAGACTGTGTTTTTTGTTGTTTAAACTACCTTAATATTTCTTAGACATAATAAAGAATAATAAGAAAAGGCCAATCCCAAATTTTAATCTTTAACCTTGGATCCATCTGTGGAAAATATAGAGGTGAGCCCGATGAGTCTTGGAACTACTCTATGTACTTTTTCCTCATTGGAGGAGTACTTTAACCACGTGTCCCTCAAGCCTGATGATTATTTCTTTTGTGTTCGTTGTATGTAACGACCAGCTGCCAAAATTTATCGTGGCCAAAATACGACGGGTCATTGCAAAATCTTGTAAGTTTAATTTTACGGTCTTCGCGGCGTTCGTAAGGGAACAGGTAATGTTTGATAAGCGCCTCCCCGTCGGCGCCTATCTGACAACGCCGCCAACGTTACGGGGGAGATTAGCGTCACAACAACGCAGCCTCTGCCGCCTATGCAACCGTATAACGAATTCATATATGTACGGCGATGCCCGTAGTGGGCAGACCAGTATTCCGAGCGATCTTATTTTTACGATTTTTCGAGAAATATTGCATGAGAGACCGCGGGGCAAACCATCGACCGTATGTTCGAAAATTACGCTCGTAATTCGATTTTTTCAGAAAAATTGTTCATCGGAGATCTCGGAAACGGTGGTCATAGAATCAAATTCTAATGCATGCCGTCTCGCAGAATAGGGAACTTGCCCGTTTTTTTTTCAAATACGCTTCGCAAGTTACCAGAAGAAACGCTGAAAGTCGCAAGTCGCTAAAAGGAAGAAAATCCCACTATTCACTTATAGATCCTCAAAGACCCTTGCTGCCGACAGATTTAAATGTACTTTTTACAAAACTTCTGGAGTCGCCCTGCCTCGATTTTTTGCAGAGTCGAACTTGCTAACGTTTAATCAATCATCCTGTTAGCTTCTTCAGAGCTCGGTTGAACTCGAATATTCATATGCTCAGGAATTTGCGCACTGCACTGACGCAGTCGCGAATATATTACAGTCATATTGAATTTCGTCTACGGAATTATATTATACAATCTGTTAGCACAGAAATGAGCAATATTTCGTAAATACGGTATCCTGGCTTTACCAAGTGTGTTAATATTCTTTTAACACCAGACAGCAACACAAAAATCTACGTCACCCTGTAGACTTTAATCGCCAGTTTTCCCTGTAAGGGGTTTTCATTAGGAAGCTAGAAACTTTGCTAGAGGATATGTCGGAGAACCACTGGTGCTGACAATAGGTCGAAGGGGTAATCCCGGTTTGTGGAACTGTGGGACTCCGTAGAGACGAGGAATTTTAGAGTCATGGGGGATGACAGATTTTTTGACGGAGACTGATATAGAAAAAGCCTTAATAACAGATTTAAGGTTGTTATCCATAGATTATGTAGGATATTTTTTTTAAGTTAACGATATGATCCATCTGTAAGGATTTTTTGAATCTTTACCTGATATTTTGTCAATTGTTGAATACACTTCCATAAGGTAGTAGTAGGTAGCCACATTTAACAACAATTTTTCAAGCCTTCTAATTAAGATATCTAATGTAGGCACGCTTTGTTCCTCGTATAACTGGTAAATTTTACGCCGTATTATATCTTGATCACTTTCATCTACACTCGAGAAAATGTCAGCATCGCTTCTTTTTTTCCTCGCTGAAATGGGATTATTCACAATTTTCCATACAGTTGATGTTGGAATTTTCGTCAATGTGGCCGTTTCTTCTAAAGAGGGCATCATGTCCAATGAGAGTCAAATAAACATTGTTTATAACTTCCTTAGTCTCAATAGAATAGTGTTTTCTACATTTGGGCGGGAGCATCTCCTGAGATATAATTTTGAATAATTTTGAATAATTTTGCATAATTCGCACACGATTCATCACACGCTGTATTACACACGAAATAAGAATGATTACTAATAAACTGAAACTAAGTAGTATACCGAACCAAAGAATATTAAACACAGGTAGGTATAAAATTATTTTCTATTACGGACCACAATTTTACCTGAATTTAAATTCCCAAACTTTAGGTAATAATCTTGCTGCATTGTATGTTAATGACCACCCTTGGATAATCCCATTCATGAGCAATTGGTCACTTTCTTATATCTATGAACAGACCATACAACGTCGAAGCAATAAAAGCACTATATTTTTGGTCGTATTATAGCAATAGAGTTAAAACATACTGATCATTTTTTATTACGTCACTATATGAGACCTAACTGCAGAACTCCTCTGATTGGAGTGTACTAGCAAATCGTGCAAGCATGTTGCTGCTTCAGGGAAGGGTAGATCCACGTGACAACGCCGGCACCGAGGACCGGTATACCACTCGCAGCGCTCTGGCTCGCGTTCTGTTAGTATTTCCCGAACCGTGGGGGAGATTGTGTCGATTCGCTTTCGTGACGGCTCGTAGAAACACGCGGATAGCGTGCGGACGTATCCATCTAGGGGACTTTGGAAAATGCTCGACAACGACTGAGCAACTGTAACTGTGGAAAGTGCGCGGAAAAATGTTCGACCTGTAGATTTCCTCTGGTGGTACGGTAGAGCTCGAGTTGGTATATTCGCTTTCGATTGGATGCAGTGGTGTCTGATTAGTGAAATGTCTGGCCAGGATCTCGCAGTGCGTTTCATGTTTTTGTGTGTTGTGATCAATTTTGGAGTAGTCCAATGCGGTAGCTCGTCCGGATACTACGGTGAGTCACGGACATGAGCTGAAAACCATGATTAATGACGAGGCTTTATAAACAAAAAAAATTAAAACTTATTTAGATGGAAATATTAAAAAAAAAACAATTTTTGTAGTAAACTAGCCAAACAGTGATCATTCTAATTCAATGTTTTAATGCTAATGTCATGTATGGATTTGACGATGATGATGGCTAAATTGAAACGTTGAGCTCTGTATAAATACAAAAATACAAAACGGAATTATAAATTTGCAATAAGTGTTTATTGAGCAACAAATTTCCCAGTCTATTCATATATGCTAACATCATTAATGTCTCTGAGAACACTCAGCGCGATTTTAGGTTTAAATAACTGTTATTTATTAAATTGAAGTATATTGGACCTGAGTACTTCTTAAAAAGTTATTACTATATATATGTGATAAAATGATAAAAATGGAGCTAGAATAATCGGAACAAATAACGCTCAAATTTATTTACTTTACAGCCTGTCTGTGCCTGTAAAAAATTTGATAGTAATCTGCGCTTTGAAGGCCTCGTAGCCGTTTTAATTCAAAAGACGTTCTATAAAGTTCGGTTACTCTATTCTCATAAAGATGTGTTAAACACTGCTATTAAATTAAAACTGAAAGATTCTCTAATACTGTCTAATATTTCATATTGTAATGGTCCGCCTTACTTCAGAAAGATAAAGGTTTAGCTTTCAGCACCTTCAGATTGTCTCTCTCAGTTTCTCTCACGCCGGCTGACGGTTGAAATCGCAAAGTTTTGTTTTAACTAAAAAAATTATCATTCTGCAAAGGTTTCGTTGACAATCTTGCTTGTATATCGGATATTCATTCAGTTAATGCGTGCCATAGGGGAGTGTGTGCTGTTCGCAAGCATGACTTAGCTCAATTTAGAAGTCGCTTAAGCTATACTTTTAAATCCGTTAAAAAATTTTATTATTAGATTTTTGTTCTCTTTCTATATTGTATATAAGGTTTTCTATTCGTTGTAATACGTGTATATCTAATGTATATTTGGGACTAACTTCTAACATTCTGCAACGTTTTATAAGTTAACAAATAAAGACTAATTGTTATTATTATAATTATTATTACCACTATTATTAAAACAATTATTTAGTCTTCGAAACAAAATTAGATTTCACGCAGAATTCTGCGTATTTCACAAATATTTAACGGTTTCCAACGGATTTACGGATTTCAACTGTGAAAAATAACTTTTAGGTTATGTAATTTATTTTGTCGTCGTAATTAAAGATGTATCATAAAAAAAATCAAAACGGGCATAAAAACATATTTTTATTTTTTCAAAAATTTGTTTTATTTCCTCCTTTTTTTCCCACTTAAATTCATTTTCTTTATAAGGGGTGTTTTTGTTTTTCGATGCATGGAACTTTAAGTTGCAATAAAACAACGATGGATTATTCGATTGACATGAATTTTATTTATCCGAAAGATAATCTCGTGGCATTGCATTTTCAATATGATTTCTGGCATATAACTGGACGTCCAATTTTCGATGACTTTTTCCAACATTTGCGGCCGTACATCGGCAATAACACGGCGAATGTTGTCTCGTTTGTAGCTTATCCGCATAGACCAATGACTTTACATAGCCCCACGGAAAGTAGTCTAGCGGTGTTAAATCACAAGATCTTGGAGGCCAATTCACAGGTCCAAAACGTGAAATTAGGCGGTCACCAAACGTGTCTTTCAATAAATCGATGTGTGACATGTTGCGCCGTCTTCTTGAAACCACATCTCCTGGACATCATGCTTATTCAATTCAGGAATGAAAGAGTTAGTAATCATAGCTCTATACCGATCACCATTGATTGTAACATTCTGGCCATCATAGTTTTGGAAGGAGTACGGACCAATGATTCCACCAGCCCATAAAGCGCACCAAACAGTCAGTTTTTGCGCCAGTTTTGTTTATTAACGTAGCCATTCAACCAGAAGTGCGCTTCATCGCTAAACAAAATTCGCTTATGAAAATCGGGAACAACGGCAATCTCGTTTTGGGCCCATTCGACGAATCTACGCCTTACTTGATGATCGTTTGGCTTCAATTCTTGCACGAGTTGGATTTTGTAAGCACGTAAACCAAGATCCTTCCGCAAAATCTTCCATGAAGTGGATGGACACAGATCCAATTCCTGTGCTCGATGGCGGATGGACTCATTCGGGTCTTCCTCAATGCTACGCTCTACAGCAGCAATAGCTTCTTCTGTAGGCGTCTCTGGGGATGCGAGTTATCAATAAGAGTAAACGTGGTGCGAAAACGTTCCATGGTTAATCGAATTAACTGCTCTGATGGACGATTTTGTCGAGGATAAAATGGACGTAGTGTGCGATACAGAACCATTATTTTCGAAATAAAATTGCAGTATTTACAAGCGTTGTTCAGGCGTGAGTCTATTCATGATGAATTGCCAAACCAAACTGAGAATAAATCACTTGACAGCTGTTAAATAGGTCGCCATCTTGAACAGTAATGCCAAAAAAAGTTCTATACATCGAAAAAAAAAATGGTGTGAGGTTAAGTCACTTAAAATATAATCTTCCAGACGGATACTACTGCAGTATCATCGCCCGATTACCAATATTTTTATTTAAAAAAAAAAAAATTCAATGAGCACATAGCAATTATTTCGTCTGGACTTCAGATTGACCCTTACCTGAGGACGTAATGCCCTAGAATGTGAGTTATCAGCTTCTGGAAGTAACCAAACCAGAGAGCTGCACGAAGTATCTGTGAAGTCTCTATAACTTTGACGGACACTGTAAATATTAACTCTCCTAAGCTATTACTCAATAAAATTTAATTTATGTTCAGAGTGTCGGTAAGTTAATCTCCTGTCTTTGTTGTTTACTGTGACTGAATATATAACAGATTTATTTAAAAAAAAAGGCAAGTGGCGAAAACCTTTCGGATCATAAAACCTGGATTAATTTAACGACATGTGTGGACGGATTGATGTGTGTAGGCATATTAAAAATTTAACAAAACATCTGCCGCCCCAAACCAGGGAGCGGAAATTATAGCTTACACCGCGCCGAATGGTGGGAAACATTTAATTCGACTTTAAACGCTACACTGTACGACGAAATTTCTAATGAACGAATCAGATTTTAGGATGGAAACGCCCAAAAAAATTATGTTGAGCTAAATTGGCCGGCAGCTGCATTCTAGCACTAGAAGAATGGTCGAAATGTCTGGTCTCGTAGATGTAGATGACATATCTAAGAGTCGGGAAGTATTTTAACAAAATTAAAAACTGCGTTTGCAAGGGTATAAGGAAAAGATCATTCCTCTGTGTTTCACATATCAGTTTCTTTTACCTGAAAATAAAGCTCGCATACACGGCATTTAAGGTTTTCAACTATTCAACAGGGTGTTCGCGATATTCCGTACAATATTAAAAAACGTAATACTTGCCCTAAAGTACTTCAAAGTATTTTTTTACAAGTTTCGATTTTTTTTTTGTTATTGTAGCTTCCAGAAAATCATGTTTTTCTGCATAGCCATTCGCCCGATAACATTTATTTCAAGCATTTTTTCGATTATATGCAGAGTTTTTAAATTATAGACAAAAATCTAAAAGACTTTGAAAATTGTTCTGTTCCAGAGTAAATTAGTAACCGCAAATCAAAAATCAAAAAATATGGCTAATCGGTTCAGGCAGTGTCATAGGCCGCATCAAGGGCAAACGATTCTTGTATTTGCGGTTTTCGTCTGTCACACACGCTGCTTTGAAAAAATCTACATGAAAGTCACTATTAGTTTCAGAAAAATCTTATTTTCTCGAAAACCATTTACTATTTTCAAAAAATTATTGAACCAGGAAACGTGGAAAATCCGGGGCTATAACCTCTACTTCGAAGAATGATTGTATTATATACAGAGTGTGCCGTTTAAGGACAAAAAATCTAAAATATCTTAAAAATTTCCGTTTCTGGGGGTAAATTATTGGCGATAAATGAAAAACCGTTAAAGATGGGATAATATTTGAACAGTATCGTAAAGCATGTCGTGAGAGAGTTTCAGGTTTCGTCAATTATACAGGGCGCGACATATTTGAAAAAATATCATTCGAGAACGCTGTTATTTGTAACTTTGAAGTTCGACGAGATGTGAAAGGCATTTTATACGGGGTGCATGCACAATTAAATCACATCGATTTCCGGATTTTTTTCAAATACGCACAGCGTGTGTCGATTATGGGTAAAACAGTGTAAAAGACAATGAAAATTGTCATTTTCGTGGATAAATGATTAGCTGTAAATAAAATACTATAAAACATGGGATAATCTGGTATAAACAGTGTCATAAACTGTATCCAGAAACTTTCAGGTTTCGTCCAACATACAGGGTGCGCGAGATAATAATATAACTTCATTGGAAATCGTTATTAATTGTACATTTTTTTATATTTATCAAAGTTTGTCGTGAAAATTTTTTATACGTGACAGACGCTTTATACAGGGTGTATACAAAATATAATTACATCGAGGAGCACGATGGAAAAACAGTGCGACCTTCTAGCGGTTTTTTTTGGACATACAAACCTGCATGGCGCTACGAACTTGCCCCGTCCAGTGACGATTTTTCGAAAGCAATGTTATTAGATTGGTAACGTTTTTCTTATCTTCTACTATCATTTTGAATTATTTTGTATAACATTAAAGTTTTGACCGATACTTATGTATTGGTTTGATTATTTTGTGGAATTTTTGAATTTTGGTGTTTGGTTGTTTGGTGTTTTGATGTTCACTTTTAGGCCAATATTGCATATAACCTTTTTTGTTCCGGGTGTTTTGTACACGGTGTTCCATGTAAAAAGATTATATTTTCCTCATTCTTTCCTAAACCCTACATTCAATTGTTTTTCTGTTTCCAACATTACCAATTACGATGAACACAATTTAGATCGGCCTGTATATACATTATAAACCTTTTTTGTTGTACAATATTGGATAAATTTGATAGTTTTA